TGGAGTAAACACGTTTTTATGTGAAATACGAACTTATTTATTCAGGTGTGAACACGTTTTTATGTGAAATGTGAACTTATTTATTCAGTTGTAAACACGTTTTTATGTGAAATACGAACTTATTTATTCAGGTGTGAACACGTTTTTATGTGAAATGTGAACTTATTTATTCAGTTGTAAACACGTTTTTATGTGAAATGTGAACTTATTTATTAAGGTGTGAACACGTTTTTATGTGAAATGTGAACTTATTTATTTAGATGTAAACACGTTTTTATGTGAAATATGAACTTATTTATTCAGATGAGAACATGTTTTTACGTGAAATGTGAACTTATTTATTAAGGTGTGAACACGTTTTTATGTGAAATGTGAACTTATTTATTAAGGTGTAAACACGTTTTTATATGAAATGTGAACTAATTTATTAAGGTGTGAACACGTTTTTATGTGAAACATGAACGTATTGTTTGTTCTAATACGAGCATGTTTTCACTCTTTACCCCTAGGCGATATTTAAGAAAGAACACAAGAGCACAATGAATGAATGCAGCAGTCCTGATAATGACGTTGATGACTTCTTCCTTCCTTCACAAAGGGAAGAGACGTATCCTCGCAGTATACACCAAAATGAAACTAGAGTAAGATAACTTTTATCTGGTTCCTTAAGATAAACCTGGCTCAGACAATTTATTTAAAAGGACTAATTACAAGTCTATGTTTTATTATTATTTACTGATACGTGCATTTTTTTATTAATTTAAAACTGGTAAATTAATGGAGTTTTTGTTTATTGAAACTAGGGAGTGTGTCCAAAGTACACCTAGGCAAAATCTTAGTTCATTAGGTTTAACATATCTAACAATACTTGTTTGTTGTTTGAAGCTTAAGAGTGTGTGCAAAGTACAACTAGTCATAAACTTACCATGTTAGGCTTAACGTATGTAGCAATAATTATTTTTTGCTTTAAGCTAATGAGCGTGTCCAAAGTATAATTAACCAGAAACTTATCTCGTTAGGCTTAACGTATTCAGTAATACGTGTTTGTTGCCTTAAGTTTTAAAGTGCATCCAAAGTACAACTAGGCAGGAAACTTAGCTCGTTAGACTTACTTAACTTATGCAGTAATACTTCATTTGTGTTTAATAATTTTGATTTTGTCATTTATAATTTTGGTAATATTTTAGTTATTTTCTTTTTACATTATCGTGGAATCCGACACATTGTCAGTACTAAAAACTCTCTAGGCAGTTGCTGTTCGTATGCAACATTATTATAGTTCAGAAATCACTTTATGCTGATGACAAAAGTGCTGCAATTATTAACATTTTAAGGTAGAATTAATTATACAATTAATAATAATTTTTATTCTTAGCAGCAACAAATGAATGTGAACCATTTGGTTGGACTCCAGTCTCTTACAGTACCAATTAATCAATCGGTATACGACACAAACAGTGCTGGCCAAGTCATGCAGCTATCACCACAGGTGTCGCCACCCGTACCTCTTAGCCGCCATCTTAGTCCTACAGGTAGGTTCATCTAAGTTGTAGACTTTCTGATTTTCAACACTATTAGTGAGATAAAAATTACAAATATAAATAGTTTAACTCGAAACTTCGATTAGCAGGATTCTCATGTCTGACAAAATAACCAGCTCAGAAATCAGAGGTGGTGAGATTTCGGTCAGCTGACGTGACGCAGTAATATCTTTATAACGTTCATGAAATACTAAAGCACAATAAAAACGATCTATATTTTCTTCGAATTCCTTCCATATCACTAAAAAGTACGACTCAGGAAATCGACTATTTTTATTAATAGTAAAACAACAACTTAGAAATGTCTGTATGTATTGCAGGAAACATGTCAGAAGTTCCTCCGATAAATCCTCAAGGTTATCATCATCATTCGCAAGAAAACAACGCGACCTTGGGAAACAGATCATCTAGTGGGCTAGCCATAAAACAACAAGGATCTCTCAGTAGGCAACATCTTTCCCATTCTCAGAATGAATATAGGCCCAATGGTCAGTTAGTGGTATCTCATGCCAACAGCAGAGCAAATAACACAATGGTAAGCGAACACACTCACATTTTGGCTTCATTAGTACAACATAATAAGATAGAATGAAATGTTCCCTAGATTTTATAAACCGTCGTGAAAATCAATTTGCATGTTTATGTCTTAGTAGTTTCAAACAATATCCCAAATAAAAATGTTTCGTGGCTGACTGAATATTTCAAACAATGTTCTATATAAAAACGTTTTGTGGCTGACCATTCATTTCAAACAATGCTCTTAATAAAAAGTTTTTGTAACTGACTAATTAATTCAAACAGTGTTCTATATAAAACATTTTGTGGCTGACTGATTAATTCAAACAATGCTCTATATAAAAACGTTTTGTAACTGACTGATTAATTCAAACAGTGTTCTATATAAAACCTTTTGTGACAGACTGATTAATTCAAACAACGTTCTATTTAAAACGTTTTGTAACTGACTGATTAATTCAAACAATAATTTATATAAAAAGAGTTTTGGGGTTTATTAGCACAAAGCTACACAATGGGTTATTTGTGCTTTGCTCACCATGGATATCAAAATCCTAGTTTTAGCGTCATAAGCCTTTAGACTTTCTGCTGAGCCAATGGGGTAGGTCACGTTTTCTGACTAATATCATCGTCTAGTTCATGGGTCAACTTGAGCAGACTTGGTGTGACCTGATTTTTTTTTAACATAATAAGAATGAAATGATTTTTCTACCTTAATGTTATTTATTACATTTTACTTCTGTCTCAGTTGAAAGTATTTGTTTTAACTCAAGTTTTTCATCGGGTTTTTGTGTTGCTCACGCATGATAAACAATAATGAGATTAGTTTGTTTTTAAATATATTCTTAGGGAAAATAAGGTCTGAAAAATTCACAAAGTTTTATCTTTTTTCGAGACTTGTATTATCACAAAAATATGGATACTTTTAATACAACTTTGTCACACTTCCTTACCCTAATCACGTATTAAATACTAATTTAATTTACGTATTGAATTACTGGCTTAATTATTACTGATGAATTGAGTACCTAATATTTTAATGATTACTAACTATTTAGATGCGATTGTAAGCTTAGAGTAGCTGCTAAAACTGGTTCATTTAACCGTCTGAAACACTAAATTCACTCTGTTAAAGCTGGTTCATTCAATCGATTGAAAACAAGTTCGTTGTCTATTATTTAATAATTATAAGCTTTAAAAGTAACAGATTCTAATGCGTTTTCTTGAATCATTTAAAATCCTAAAGCTTGCGAAACATACTCATTAACAAATGTATTTTCGGTTCATAAACGATATTACGTCACGTGACCGATGTAGCTAAAGGTAGAGTATAATACACGAGAGTGGATACACTGTATGTTACGTATGTAACTAGAATTCCCCTGGTAGTAATATTTGGTTGGCAGGAACAGCGTGATGTGAATATTTTGATACTTTGTAGATTAGGGAACATTTTCTACAGCCATTAACTCTATTAAAGTATATTAATATTTACCTCTTAACTTTTTTGACGTCAGAAGACCCATATGGACGTCTCATATCCGATTTTACTCCACCAAATCCCTATTTTGGGATATCTTAAATATCATCTATTTTGGTTTTGCTTCATTTATTATATTAGGGAATGTTTAAAAAATTGCGGATTATTCATTCCTTTTCGGTTTTCTTATTTTATTTAATGAGTAGATCCCTGAACATTTACAGTAAAATAATCTAATAAAAAACGAATTTAGCTGAGCATTTTATATAAGAAAGCACGGTAGCTACAAAGGAATTATAACCATTGAACAACTTTTCAGTTGCACAGGGATCGAACCCAGAATCTCAGCTGTGAAAAGTTAATTTGCTATAATGTATATTTACAAATTACTTCCGTAATATGGAACTCCAAGTTCCCTGTTTTCACACTTCACAAATAATTCCACCTAGCAGCTCAGCTGTAAGTATGAGGGCTCATACTGCTAAAACTTTGGGCGCACAACACAGATAGCCCATTGTGCTTACCAACAAACATCAACTTACAGTTTAAATGACAAAGAATGACCTAGTGGCTAGAGTGCCGAGTTGTTAACTCAAGAGTTAATGGTCCTGTTGCTCCATTATTCGATTAAGGTAGAGTTGGCGGTGGGTGCTATTAACTTACTGCCTTCCTTCTCTCCTTACAGTTCAAAATTAGGGACTCTAGTCTGATAGCCCCGTTTGTTTCTTTTCAATCGCGAATTTCCAAAACAACAAACCAACACTAAAGTCTATTTTAATTTTTTGACAGATTTTCCAAGACGAACTTAGTCTTCTTTCTAAAAAAAAACAAAAAACCTTACTCATTTTTATCAGTACTTTTACTTTTTATGTCTACCTAATTTAAATATAGATTACTTTTATTTTAGTCGCCCAACATGATTCATTCCCCAGTGATGACATCGCCACATATGCGAAGTATTAGCAATTATTCTCAGTCCAATGGAGTTTCCTCTTCTTTCCAAACAGGTGTGTAGTGCAATTCTATAATTTCTTGAGTGTTTGACCACACAATTAGTGGTTTATGTCCTTAAAGTTACTGTTAAGTCAGGTGTATAAATATACAGTATTGCTTCCCCATCAAATTTATGGTTACTTTATAATAAACAATTGCAGCTACTACGTGATAAGATTTGAAATAAAAGGAAATCCTTGTGCAAATGTAAAACAAATTACGTGGTCAACGTTTTCTCCAAACGACCTTCATCAATGAGCAATACCTTCATGTTTAGACCAAAAAATAAAGTGTACTGTGTCTATTAGAAACTTGGAGTAGACTGTATGTACTAGCAGTTCAGAGTATACTGTATATACTAAAGTTCAGAGTATACTGTATATACTAAAGTTCAGAGTATACTGTATATACTAAAGTTCAGAGTATACTGTATGTACTAAAGTTCAGAGTATACTGTATATACTAGCAGTTCAGAGTATACTGTATGTACTAAAGTTCAGAGTATACTGTATATACTAAAGTTCAGAGTATACTGTATATACTAAAGTTCAGAGTAGACTGTATATACTAAAGTTCAGAGTATACTGTATGTACTAAAGTACAGAGTATACTGTATATACTAAAGTTCAGAGTATACTGTATGTACTAAAGTACAGAGTATA